TGTGAGAAAGGAAGGGCGAGTACTTCTATGCCACTTGACATATTAGGAAATTTAGGCAAATAGAGATGAAGTTAACGGCAGAGGTCTCTAGACTTTCATTGCTAGGCTCCTCCACTAAATCAAACTGGATGAGTCTTTTGGGATAATGTGAAAGGGTATGCAACTGGATTATTTGTGGAAAAGAAATAACTTGATAAATTATATTAAATTACTACAGGAGTAGATAAACAATTCTATTTCCCCTGTTGAGAATTTGCCTTTGAATCCCACTGTGAAATGGATTAGAATGTTTTGTTAGGATGTAAGCAGTATACACACCCAGAAAAGGTACATCTCATTTTCTTTCAAATGGATATTTTCTCCTGGGACTTCTTTACATTCTGAAAATTCACTTTGTTGTTGCATTCCAAGGTTTGTGGCTCTAAATGCCATAGCATTCAAGGCTAACTTTTATTGGTGATATTTGTGGTTATCACTTTCCACTGTCATCTGTCCCCTTTCCTTTGTTTTGTCTCAGAGATACAATATGATTTAGGAATGAGGGCTTTTTGATTCTTTAAGATACATTTTGGCAAATTGGTTCAGTAACTTGTTATTGAAAAGCAAAATTCATCAGGGATGTATTTATCTACTTCTTCTAAAAATAAATCTCTCATAGAGACTAGTTATTTATTCATCAGTCATGCCACATTTCTTTCTTTTTTTATTTGACAGGTAGAGTTATAGACAGTGAGAGAGAGAGACAGAGAGAAAGGTCCTCCTTCCATTGGTTCACTCCCCAAATGGCCACTATGGCCAACGCTGCGCCGATCCGAAGCCAGGAGCCAGGTGCTTCTTCCTGGACTCCCATGTGGGTGCAGGGACCCAAGAACTGGGGCCATCCTCCACTGCCCTCCCAGGCCACATCAGAAAGCTGGACTGGAAGAGGAGCAACCAGGACTAGAACTGGCACCCATATGGGATGCTGGTGCCACAGGCAGAGGATTAACCAAGTGAGCCATGGCGCCAGCCCCACGTTTCTGTATTTTATGAGGATGTATCTGCATTCTTTTGTTAAATACGTCCATGAAAATATTTATCCTTTAAAAAAATTCACAACTTCTTCTAAAATTCAGAAATTAAACAAGAGTCATAATCCACAAGGTTGCATGCACAATGAAACTCAGATTGTCAAGGCCTCTACCTCGAGAGCACACACAGGACAGGTTGGTGGGTCAGACTGGAAGAGGCCAGACAAAGGAGACAGGAGTCCAAGCTGGAGAGGTGCTTTTTTGTTGCAACTCATGAACTCACATTTCTTGGCCCAGTCCTCTCCCTTCATCAGTCTGAGAGTTCCTTTGATGGAACTTTGGAGGCACTGTTGTCCTGACTTTCTTGAATGTGACCTAGGAGGCACCATTCAAGCCACGGCCCCTCTTACCCGTTGCAGAAGCCAAACTCTTTGGTGGCAGGGACTCTAATTTTTTGCCTGCCCATGTAGCTCATGTGCATGGCTGTTAAGATTTGGCATCTCAAAAACTGGGCATTGTGTTGAAGAACTCTGGCACCACCATATACCTGCCTCATTCTTCAGCTACATGTTTATCTCTGGATGCTTTTTTGTCATGTTGCAATCATATCAGAAATGGAAGCTTTCCTGTGCCTTCTTGGCACCAACATAGAAGAGCCAGTGAGACAAAGGAAAAGTTTTGCTGTCTGCCTGCTTTGCACACAGTTCATAGTCATTAATCGTGTTCAGCTGGACTCTTTTCTTCCATGTAGCAGACACACTGTGTTATCTTCTCCCCCAACAAACACAGCTTTCATGCGATTATTTTCTTCCAGGGAATTTGGCATTTGCCTTCCTATCAAAAACTCCCAGAGATCTTTGAAAACTACAGGTCTTTTTAAAAAAGAAAATTTTAATTTTTATTTATTTGAAAGGCAGAGCTACGGAGTGTGTGTGTGAGGGGGGTGAGACAGAGATCTTCCATCTGCTGGTTCATTCCACAAATGGCCACAACAGCCATGGCTTGTAACACTGAAGCCTGGGGCTTCTTCTAGGTCTCCCAAGTGGGTACAGCAGCCCAAGCTCTTGGATCACCCTCTGTTGACTTCCCAGGCATATTAGCAGGGAGCTGGATTGGAAGTGGAGCAGCAGGTCTCGAATCGGCACCCATTTGGGATGCCTGCTATGCCACAACGCTAGCCCCTGAAAAATACAGGCCTTGAGTCCATAGGTCCGGGGTAAGATTCTGGGCTCTGTTGTCTATCACCAGTTTCGCTACTCTAGGAACCAGTGCTCTTAAGCAAAGCGTGTCTGCCCAGAGTCCCCAAGACCATGGCCAGGGTTCCTGATTTGGTGGGAGGACTCACAGGACTCATCATGCGGTCATACTCCTGACTGTGATGTATTTCAGCAGAAGAAGCCAGCTTACCAGGAAGGGAAAGGAACCTGGGGAGACTAGACACAAGCTGATGAGAATCCTCTCCGTGTGTAATCACCCAGGACTGATTCAAATCTGACACTGAATCGTGACATCACCTGTGGAATGTTGCCTGCCGGGACGCTCACCAGAAACCCAGTGCTCACTCAAGAATCTGATGGGGGACTTGTCTTGTAGGCACCCTTTCTGCCAGACTCCCAGAAGGGAATCAGATATTCAATATAAACCTTGTTGGAACAAACAGTTGAGGCACCTGAAGCCACTCATCAGTTGGGAATGCTGGGACCCCTTCCAAAATCCAGGTTCCCAGATGCCAGCCAAGGGCCAACTTTGCCACCAGGGCTAAACATAGCAGTGTCAAACACATCATGTTATCTTTTTTTCTACAGGTAACTAGGTTAAAAAGTACATTAACCAAGTTTTCTATATTGGGTAGGAGGTGAAACTTCTGAATGAAAACAGACATTCAGGATATGAGATATGAAATCCTGTTTCTTGAAGATTTTAACGATAAAATTCATAGACAGAATTCTCTATTCCCACGGAACATTTCCAGATGGAGAATCTGAGCATTTCATTATTCCACTTGAACATTTTCTTCCTTGTAAATGATTGGATTTTCTCTTGCGTTTGTTTATGGCCGTTTACCTTTTTGCAGTTCATTCATTCAGGTGAGTGGCGGAACAGCATGTCTCTGGTACAAAGTCCTGCTTGAACCTAATAATCAAGTCATTATCACTCAGCCTTGCTTTCCACGGTGTGAAAGCCCCTTCTAATTGGACTTGTTCTCCATTATTTTAATCACCTCTATTGTTTCTTTCCCTTTCCCTCTCAAAAGTGTGGGCCAAAACTGGACTCAAGGTGTTTCAACTCATACTCAAGTCTGATATATATCTAATTTATAAAAACCTTGAAAATTGCATGTAATTTACAGTATTCTAAATAATTTAAAATAGATGAAACACATCCTTTTTTCTTTCTTTTAAAAAAATCATTGATACAATATGCAATCATGCATATGCAAATTACTTTGATAATCTATTGGGTATAATTTCCTTTCTGTTAAGAGTTCTAGAAATATATTTTTTCAAGTTTTATTTATTTTTTCAAATACTGCATGTTCTCTCTTATATGTAGGATATGGAGGCTAAAATCAAAAAGAAAGAAAGAAAATACCTGAGTGTAAAGTTTTATTTATCTATTTATTAATTTGAAAGGCAGAGTCACACACACACACACACACACACACACACACACACAGAGGTCTTCTGTCTGTTGGTTTCACTTTCCAAATGCCCACAGCAGCCAGGGCTGGGCCAGGCTGAAGCCAGGAACCAGGAACTCCATCCAGGTCTCCCACATAATGGCAGGAACTCAAGTACTTAGGCCATCATCTGCTGCCTCCCAGATTCATTAGCAAAAAGCTGAATCCAAAGCAGAGGTGGACCTAGATTCCCAGCACTCTGATACAGGATGCGGGCATCCCACCAGATGGCTTAACGTGCTGCACCACAAAGCCTGCCCCTCTATGTTTTTAAAAGCAAGAATGTTTGGCTTCAGTGGAATATAGACTGAAAAAATTTCACCATGGGCCAGCAGCTGAGAACTGTTCCATAGGTCTAAGAATGATACACATGCCGAAGAAGAACCTCCTCTCAGTCTTGGATGCAGAAACTCCTACTGACAGCTTGCTGTACTTCTATTACACTTGCCTGTCACTGACAGCTTGTACTGCCCGTTTTTTCTAACAGTTCTCCCCTGAACTGTCTACTCCTTTCCTGCTTGTGGTCTACAGTAATCCCATGTTCGTCTCTTCTGTGTGCATTTTTCCATTTCTCCCTCTCTTTCATTTCAAAATTTACTTATTAAAAGCCATTTACTTATTAAATGACTGTCTTCCTATATTTACATGACTTTCTATATTGAACTATTGCTGTTCATAATATTAAAGTCATTAAAGATGATATCCCCATGACTTAGAGGATGCTCAACCCCATCTAATTTCATGTCCTTGGGAAACCTGATGAGGTTAGTCTTGATATTCTCACCCAAGAAATGAAAAGTTTGAATAAAGTGAGTCTTGTACCATTCTGAGTACAGAACTATATAATATTAGGGTTTTTTTTTTTTTTACTGAGAACTTTAATGTTGTGTTCTATAGAGTGATTTTAAAGAATCCAAAAATAATCATTTTTTCCCAGAGTGTCTTCTCTAACTATAAAGCTATCATTGAATAAAAGCAAAAGAATTCCAAAACACTAAAGAAGGCTTAGAAGAGGATCTGTGACATTTTTTTGAGAATCAAATCTTTCATTACCACCAGGCCCAGCTGTTTAAAGTAAGGCAATTGTGGTGGTGTAGGGATGTCCAAGAAAAGCATCAGCGGCATTATCAGTGTTAACTGTTTCCTTGGAAGGAAATGGTGGGGTGCGAGTGTACCTGCGTGCTATCTGGGGTCGGGAGGAACCTGAAGCTGAAAGAGCATGAGACCGTGGAGTTTGCCCAGTGATGTATATTTTTACCAACAGGGATCTTACCGCACACATTCTTTAGACGACCACTTGATTTGGTGGGTAGTTAACACGTGCATTTATTTCACAGTTTCACATTTTACAGTTATCCTCAGATAATGTTTAAAAGGGGCTTCAGAGCAAATATTTCAAGCCTTTTTTTTAACAAAAAATCACAAATATGATCAAAGCAAACAAATACATTCCACCTCTTTTAATCAACTCATTCCAATTAGAAACATTCTGTTAGCATATAGGCTGATCAAACCCTTTGAAATGGAATTGTAGACATATCGCAATGGGAAAATTGAGAGTCTATGGATATAGGGAGTTGTAGAAGAGAAATGATCTCTAAAACCATGGTTTATTTCTGAAAGAAAAGGTGAAATTGTGCATTTATTAGAAAAAGAAGTTAAAGAATTAAGACAGTGGGATCCTTCAACATAACCAAAGCAGGAGGCTTTACCCTGGCACACTCACAAATCACCATATGTGTGCTGTTAGCTTAGCTTGGCCAGGGAACTGGAAGAGATGCATGTTTGTGCTTCTTATGTTGAAGTGAGACTGGCTGGGCTTGGAGAAGATAGCTCACCTGTTACCTGAACATAGGTTCTTTAAGTGTCCATTATTAGAAAGTCCAGAACCCGGGGCCAACATTCTGCTGCTCATGTATGCAGATAAGCCACTCAGAGTGGTCCAGCCAGAAGGATCAGGGATCTGCGCAAGGCCAAGGTTACTTGAGCTAAGACACTTGTTTCTGGGTGATACAGCTCATTATCTAGGAAGCATTATTCCTGGTCATGAGAGCATAGGGATGAAAGCTCCTCTTGGAAAGATGCAGGGGATTTTCAGCTTGGAAAGCATTGCTGAATACTAGAGCAGCAAAAATGACAGAGGACTCGGACTGTGTCAACCTGGTGCTTTCAGTACCTCACCAGTTTGTGAGTGCAGGCAGCTAGAAAATGGACTCAATTCTGCAAGTTTTCATGTCAAAGTCCAGATGTAGACATCTAGAACAGACATGAAAATTCTTCCATTTCAAACCCTGTTTTGGGAAAAGCAACAGGAATTCTAAACCAATAGGAATGGTTTGGAACTGATGTACTTACAGTAAAATGATGAGACATGCTTAAGGCAGGAGTGATGTCCCCATGTCCTTCCAGTCTGGGGAATCCATTACATCTTGGGAACAGGGATTCCTGCTTTAGATTATTGATTCATTAACTTTTCTTTCACTTATACTTGATTTTTTAATGACAGAACTTACTGGAATTTGGGGACAATTCTGTGCTATTAAATAATACTCATCACTAAAAACTCATCTTGCTATTGAGCTAGTTCAGTGACTTGCAGTGAATTGAAAGCCCACGTTGCATTTGAATCAAAAACAAAAACTGGAAACTATTACTCCCTGCATAGATAACAATCGGCTATATAAACATGGCAGAAATTTAATAGTGTGGATGGTTAACTGAGAAACAACCCCTGACACTTGCTGGTTACCTGATACATGGAACAGAGTCCTTCCCATTTTCCATAGAAGGTGAATCCAGCCCAGGGCGTCACTGAGCAAGCAGCCTGGAGTAGGTTTGTAAGCTTGGGCTCCAGGGGGTGTCCTTTATACATAAATACGAGAGAGGAACAGGCAGCTATTTCCATTCCATGTACAACCACTTGATCTGGTGGGTAGCTAAATGGTGTATTTATTTCACACTTTCACATCCTTACAGTAATCTTTAGATAATATTTAAATAGGGTTTAAGAGCAGTTACTTCCTTTTAAATATATATTTTTAAAAATTACAAATATGATCAAACCATACAACCACATTCCACCTCTTTTCAATCAACCCATTCTTATGAGAAATACTTTGTTAGCAGATCAGGAGATCAAACCCATTGAAATGGAATTGTACAAGTATCTCAGTGGGAAAAAGGGTCAGGGCTAGTGTTGGGTGCTGCTAGGATTTCCATGCAATTTAGAATAATAGTTGGAGGTCCATTCTTTGAGGAAAAATGTCCAAATGTTATTTTAGTTATTTGTAGTACCATTAGATTAGGGTGCTCAGTTGGTCTAGGGTACAATTTACATCATTACTTTGTTCTGTTGAGGATCTACAGCATGCAGAAAGTTCAACTTTGCCTCAAAAATACATGTAATATGCCCAGTAAAATACATTGGCTAACATAAAAACCAAAGGAAACAGTAATTTAGAATAGCGATCAACATTACTGGGGTTTTGAATTGTGAAATAATCAACAATCCGGCCCATTTTTTCTCGGAAGACAAACTTAAACTTGTCACTGGTTTTCATTGTCAAGTCACTGTAGTTGACATTATCACCAGAAATTTCAATGCTGGCAAAGCTGATCTTTCGTTTAAAACTGGAAATGGAGCTGTTGATGATGTTGGTAATGTTGACTTCTTCCACTTCCTTCGTTGTTCCCTAGTTCACAGACAATGTGTTAGCTTGGAAGACTGGACGCAGCAAAATAAATACAGAAAAAAAGTTTAGGGGTTTCTGTATTGAATAATTAGGATTAATATGCGTGGCATTGTGTGCCTCTGAAATTGGCTGGCAAGACAGATTTGGAGTACTGTTATCTTACCCGCAGGTCACCAGCACGTGTAACAGGGTGGATTACAACTGCCCACTCTGGATATGCAGAGCTGTGTACTCAATCCCAAAGACTCAGGGTTCAAATCCTATTCTGTGTCTCATTATTGTGGAACTTTAGCTACCTTCATCTCGTTAAGATTCAATATCCCTGCCTGCAAAATGGTGATATTGATCATTGAAACCCACTTCATGAGATGGTTGAGAAGACAAATGGTAAAAAATTATGAAGAGCATCTGGTAGGTGTTTGATGAATTCCATTCTGTCCCGGGGAAAAGGGGGCAACATTATAAGAGCTGGTAAAAATCAGCTAAGTCTGAGATCTGCACCACGTAAGTAGTAACACTCCTTGCAACTTCAGGGGATTTTTCATTCTCCAACATGACTAGGGCAACACAGAATGCGGGCAGTGTAGTGGTATCAGAGAAAGTGTGTTGTAGGTGCCTGGCCAGTCCATTACTAGGTGTGGAGTCTTGGATAAGTTACCTCCCTCTTGGAGTGGCAGATTCCTCAACAGTAAAATCAAGACAACAATGGTACTCATTTCTTTGTGTTGCTGAGTGGACTGATGGAGGTGTTGCTAGGCGTTTAGGGTATAGCAAGTACTCTATAGTGTATCTACTACTCCACACAAGCATTTGGTGTCTTTAGTGGAAGATCTCAGTAATTTTCCAACCTTCCTTCTGTCCACCTAGCAACTCTAGATTATTTTGGGGTAATTAAACTTATTTCCTCTTAGGGAAGCCCAAAAGAGTAAAGCAATTGAAACCCACATCTTCTTTGGCTAGCACACATGAACATCTGCTGGTGGTACTTGGGTAGTAGGAATGTATAACTCACTGTTCATGGAGTCAAGCACAAGGGGAAAAGCAACTGAATCTCTGGGCTGTTCTCATGCCTCATTTTCTCACTATTGGACTGTGAGGTCCAGCACTTTGCTAAAGGCGGCCCCCCTTCTGGATGGGATCTCTATCATTTTCTTGTCTGGTAGCATGAGCTTTAATGTGTAAATATCCAAACAACCCCAGGGTTCCCTGAGCCTGAAAAGTAATGGTTAGGAGCATGACCCATTGACCACTGCAAGTGGGAATGACAGAGAAGTGTCAGGCTTTGGAGCCAAGGGGATTTGGGCTGGAGTCCCCACTCTACCTCTTACTACCCATGTTCCTGGTATATTACTGATCTTATTCTTCAGATTCCAAAACTGTAAAAATGGAGATAACAACATCACTGGATTGTTAGGAGTGTTTGAAATGACACAATATTTGAGGGGCTGGGGTTTGGTTGCAGAGGGTTAAGCCACCGCTTGTAAAGTCAGCTTGAGTCCTGGTTGCTCTATTTCTGAACCAACTGCCTGCTAATGTGCCTAGGAAGGCAGAAGATGACGACTCAAGTGCTTGGGCCCCTGTCACCAATATGGGAGACTGGGGTGGAGTTCCTGGCTCTTGGATGTGGCCTGGCACAGGCCTGGCTATTGCTGGCATTTGGGCTATGAACCAGCAGATGGAAGCTTGCTCTCTCTCTCTCTCCCTCTCCCTCCTTCTCCAACACTGCCTTTCAAACAAATGAATGAATAAATAAACGAATCTTTAAAATAATACACTATTTGTCAAGGGTTTATTACTATGTCTGGCATGTGTAAATACTTGATAAATAATAACCATTATTATTCAGAGAACTGGACCATGGTATTCTACTGCTAAGTCAAATAATGAGCATCTTTCCCATTAGCAAAAAATCAAAGAAATTTGTCACAATTTAATTTTTCCACATATTCAGTAAACCATTACTTTTATAGTTTAACATAAGAATATAACAAAATAATTAAATAGTAACTATTATTAATTAATCAGAACTTTGTAAGCAGCTGATAACGTTTTGTTTTATGCTGGATTTTTGTCAGTGTTTGTTCTGGTAGTGGTGATTTTGTGTTGCCTATGTGTAACACACTCTTTTCTGCTGGAGATTAAATGTACTGCTGTTTCATTGAATTTGGTGAAAAGAACAGTCAAGGGCGCTGCGACTTTCAGATGTGTCTGGCTGAACAAGGACAAGACTCAGTGGAGCAAAGTGAATCACTGGGGGTCAGGAGCAGGGCCAGCTCGTGGCTACAAAACCAGCACATGACACAGGTGAGAGACAGGGACCTCAAAATTCTTACCCTATCTTTGGCTGCCATCTGCTGTAAGGAGCTGTAGTGAGCAACTGCGTATTCCAGCAAGGCCCCAAACACGAAGCTAAAGCAGATCCCCAGGTACACGTCGATGGCCTTTATGAAGCAGTTGGTGTTAGGAAGAGAAGTGCGGGACCCAATCATCAGTGTGGTCATGGATAACACAGTGGTCACGCCTGGGAAAGCAGGCAGGAAAGATTCCAGTTAATCCCCATCACCCAGCACAGTGTTTCCATTCTGGAATTGGCAGAGGGAGGACACGACTCAGAAATGGAACATATCTGGTTTTGAAAAGCATGCAACGTGGGGGCTGGGGCTGTTGTGTAACCGCCTGCAGTGCCGGCAGCCCATATGGGTGTCGGTTCGAGTCCCAGCTGCTCTGCTTCTGATCCAGCTCCCTGCTCATGCACCTGGGACAGTAGCGGAGGGTGGTCAAGTGCTTGGACCCCTGCACCCACGTGGGAGACCAGAAGAAGCTCCTGGCTTTGGCCTGGCCCAGCCCTGGCTGTTGCAGCCATCTGGGGAGTAAACCAGCAGATGGAAGATTCTCTTTCTCTCTCTGAATCTCAGCCTTTCAAATAAATAAATAAACAAATTAAAAAAAAAAAAAAGCATGCAACCTTCTTGACCAGAGTTGAGTTGATTTGTCCTTTTTTTTTTTTTGACAGGCAGAGTGGATAGTGAGAGAGAGAAAGGTCTTCCTTTGCCGTTGGTTCACCCTCCAATGGCCGCCACCGCTGGTGCGCTGCGGCTGGCGCACCGTGCTGATCCGAAGGTAGGAGCCAGGTACTTCTCCTGGTCTCCCATGGGGTGCAGGGCCCAAGCACTTGGGCCATCCTCCACTGCCTTCCAGGGCCACAGCAGAGAGCTGGCCTGGAAGAGGGGCAACCGGGACAGAATCCGGCACCCCGACCGGGACTAGAACCCGGTGTGCCGGTGCCGCTAGGTGGAGGATTAGCCTATTGAGCCCCGGCGCCGGCCTGTCCATTTCTTATAGACATGACTGGTAAGGATTTCTAAATGCATTACCCCTTATCTTCCTCGATGTGGGTTAGTGAGCACACAAAATAACCAACAATGGATCTTATCACAATTACCTGTCACTGTAAAACATAAGTTTAAAAATGCACTACTGCTGCAGTAGTCTCTTTCTGTCTCTGACTCTCTCTCTGTGAAAAAAGTCGCTCAAGAAACCAACTATTGGAACTACCTCGTTAATATCAAGAAAATAATGGCAGGAAGTAAAAAAAGGTGAGTATCTGGTAGCCCGATTTTGGCCACCTGTGGGAGCCGCTTACCAATGCAGGTTCTCGCAGGAACTGAATCGAGGGAGATCCAAAATGACACCCAGGACAACACCACCAAGAAAGTGGAGGGGACGTAGGTTTCCAAAATGAAATACAGGACATTCCTCCGAAGCTCAAATTGCAAGACCAGGCGTGTGTAATTTCCTGAGGGGATTAACAAGAGCTGTGAAATCATGCCTGTTCACGAAGCGCCATGGTTTCCCCAGGGATATTTAACTCAGCTAGACTCATGTTAAGCCCTCTACTATTCATGAAAACCTAGTTAATTTGAATTGTCAGTATGGTTTCCACAAAAGGCATTGCTGTAGCCTGGGGTGGAGTTATAGGGATGCTTCTGCCCCCACCATGTTCTCTTTGTGTGTTTCTCTTTCACAGTATTCATACAGCGCAGTATTCCAATGACATCATAACCACTGGTTTCTGTGACATCTACCTCACCAGGATGTGAGCCTCTGGGGAAAAAAACCCCTCCCTTCCTCCCTCTCTCCCTCCCTCCCTTCCTACCATCCTTTCTTCTTTCAAGATTATTTACTTATTTGAAAGTCAAAGTTATGGAGAGTAAAAGAGAGATCTTCCACTTGCTGGTTCACTCCTCAAATGGCCACAATGACCAGAGCTGGGCCAGGCTGAAACCAGGAGCCAGAAGCTTCGGGTCTCCTTAGTGGGTGGCCAGGGTCCAAGTACTTGGGTCATCTTCCACTGTTTTCCCAGTCTCATTAGCAAGAAATTGGATTGGAAGTAGTGCAGTTGGGACTCAAACTGGCACCCATATGGGATGCCAGCACTGCAGATGGCAGCTTAACCTGCTGTGCTACAGCACTGGCCCTCTTTTTTATTTTTTAAGATTTATTCATTTGTTTGTTTATTTCTTTATTTGAAAGGCAGAATAACAGAAGCAGAGAGAGAGAGAGAGAGAGAGAGAGAGAGAGAGATCTATCTTCTATACACTGGTATAGTCTCCAAATGGCCACAATGGCTAGGGCTGATCGCAGCCTGACTCTTTCACAAGTAGGTATTCGATAAATATCTGTTTAATGGATAGTACCTGTATCCATTTTCCAAGGCCATGAGAAATCTTTCAAAAAGTGTGTGGAGGGGCAGCCATATGTCTGAACAGTTTAGATACTGTTTTGGGCACCTGCATTTCCTATCTGAGTGCCCGACTTTGAATCCCAGCTCTGCCCTTGATTCTAGCATTCCTGCTAACGTGCACCCTGAAAGGCAGCAAGTAGGGGGGTCACCGCCACCCATGTGGGAGACTCAGACTGAGTTCCTGGCTCCTGGATTCCACCTGTGCTGATCCTGGCTGTTGCAGGAATCTGGGGAGTGAGCCAGTAGATGGGAGATCTCTGTCTCTCTGCCTTTGAGATAAAATAAATGAATAAATAAAGATTTAAAAGCAATTTGTGTAAAGTCAATATGTGAAAAAATATGCATGGATTTCAAAAAATTTGCACCGAAATGAACTCATATTTTCAAGTTCACTTTTTTGATGAACTTTTTGAAGTGCCCTCACACTATGGAATGGACCTACTGGAGCTCTTAGATAGAATTTAATTTTTGATGATTTCAGAGGCATCCTGGACTTAATTGTACTTTGTGACCATCCTTTGGACACCACAAATATATTCTGGATGTGGGGAATGAAGGTAACAGACAGCTATGGCTCATAGAATTCCCTGTGGCACACGGACTGCTGGAGCACAACACACGCCCCTGGGTTGGAAGATCCAGTGACCCACCCGCCATGCCTCACGTAGGGCAGGAGAGCACAGAGCAGACATAGCAGCAGCAGGCAGGACGGACAGGTGGAGAGGGTCCCCCCTGAGACGGGAGAAGTCTGAAGAGTGGCGTGGGCAATAAGCAGCGAAGTGGATGAGTGCCGCTCCTCCCTAATGCCACGCCCACAGTTAAGTCTGGGACTGAAACTTGTACTATTAGGTAACTGCAACAGAAATATTCCTGGGGGAATATAGTATAGGATACAAATATTTAATTTTAGAGCTAGATGGGACCCAAGAGATTACTTTTTATTTTACTTTGTTGGAGCAGAAATCAAGACAGGAAGTTTTAGCCCCTTGACTAAGGATCCATAGTTGATGTGAGAAGCAAGATTAAAAACCAGGTCTTTTCCTCGAATAGCTAAAGCAATCTTGTACAACCAAAACAAAGCCGGAGGCATCACAATACCAGATTTCAGGACATACTACAGGGCAGTTGTAATCAAAACAGCATGGTACTGGTACAGAAACAGATGGATAGACCAATGGAACAGAATAGAAACACCAGAAATCAATCTGAACATCTACAGCCAACTTATATTTGATCAAGGATCTAAAACTAATTCCTGGAGTAAGAACAGTCTATTCAATACATGGTGCTGGGAAAACTGGATTTCCACATGTAGAAACATGAAGCAAGACCCCTACCTTACACCTTACACAAAAATCCACTAACATGGATTAAAGACCTAAATCTATGATCCGACACCATCAAATTATTAGAAAATATTGGAGAAACCCTGAAAGATATAGGCACAGGCAAAGACTTCTCGGAAAAGACCCCAGAGGCACAGGCAGTCAAAGCCAAAATTAACATTTGGGATTGCATCAGATTGAGAAGTTTCTGTACTGCAAAAGAAACAGTCAGGAAAGTGAAGAGGCAACCGACAGAATGGGAAAAAATATTTGTGAAGTATGCAATAGACAAAGGATTAATAACCAGAATCTACAAAGAGATCAAGAAACTCCACAACAACAAAACAACCCCCCCCCCCACTTAAGAGATGGGCCAATGACCTCAATAGACATTTTTCAAAAGAGGAAATCCAAATACTAACAGGTAGAATTAAAAAGGGAGAGAACGATCCAACATGGGAAGTGGGATACACAGCAGACTCATAGAATGGCGGATGTCCTAAACAGCACTCTGGCCTCAGAATCAGCCCTTAAGGCATGTGGATCTGGCTGAAAAGCCCATAAGAGTATTTCAGGCATGGAAAGGCAAGACACTCTGGGGAAAAAAAAACTAAAAGAAAGATCTCTGCGAGTGAGATCCCTGTGGAAAGAATGGGTCATCAAAGAAGGAGGTACCTTTCTCTGAAGGGAGGAGAGAACTTCCACTTTGACTATTGCCTTGTCTAAATAAGATCAGAGTTTGTGATCTCAAGAGACTTCCATAGCCTTGGCAACTCATGACAAGAGCCTAGGGTAATTACTGACGCCATAAACAAGAGTGTCAATTGTTAAATCAACAACAGGAGTCACTGTGCACTTACTCCCCATGTAGGATCTCTGTCCTTAATGTGTTGTACTATGTGAATGAACAATATAACTAGTACTCAAACAGTACTTTACACTCTGTGTTTCTGTGTGGGCGCAAACTGTTAAAATCTTTACTTAATATATACTAAATTGATCTTCTGTATATAAAGATAATTGAAAATGAATCTTGATGTGAATGGGATGGGAGAAGGAGCAGGAGATAGAAGGGTTGTGGGTGGGAGGGAAGTTATGGGGGGGAAAAAGCCATTGTAATCCAAAAGCTGTACTTTGGAAATTTATATTTATTAAATAAAAGTTAAAAAAAAAACAGGTCTTTTGCCCTGTGCTTCAGGGATATTCTATGATTTTGCATTACTTGCTTTATGTTCTTGATTTTCAAATTCAGTGTATCAAAAAAAAAAAAAAAAAGCTCTGAGAATCAATGTTTGACTAAATAACAGCCCTCTCCTGAATATAGAGCAGGTTTGTGCTGCCTGCAATTAAATGATTTTGGAAACTGAAGTCATTTTTTCACATGAACCCAAATGGAAATCCGGATTTGGCAAGCTACACCAGCATCATCCTGACTTATATGTTATTTTAAAAAAATACTATAATTATTCATCCATTCTAAAAAGTCAGGAAAGATAATTGCTTACAATTTGAAAAATAGGAAAAGTGGGGGAACAACCACTTTTCTTTGCAGTCTTCTAGTTTTTAGGTAATTGTGCCCTTGATGTACATATGAATGCCAGGGTCATCTAGACGCCACTAAAATGCCGAGAAAAACTTTCAGAGTGCCAATATGGATGGGGATAATCCTTCTTTATACTATTATCACAAGGAAGTGGGAACAAAGTGACAACTGCATAGACCAAACAAATTCACATATTTTGGAAAATATCTGCCTAAAAATGCCAAGGACTGAGAAATCCAAGTTCAGTAAATGAAGTGAGCAAATAATTTTCTCTCCCAAGCTCGCAATAATTAATTGTTCATGTTCTCGTTGGATCTGCCTATGTTCTTCATTTGTGTATTCTTTAAATATTGATTTTTATTTATTTGAAAGGCAGAGTTACAAAGAGAGAGGGAGAGGCAGAGAGAGAGTGAGTGAGAGAGATCTTCCGTGTGCCTGTTTACTCCCCAGATGGCCACAACGGCTGGGGCTGTGCCAGGCCGAAGCTGGGAACCAGGAGTTTTCTCTGGATCTCCCACGTGTGGGTACAGCGGCCAAACACTTTGGCCATCCTCTGCTGCCTTCCCAGGTGCATTAGCAGGGAGCTGGATCAGAAGTGGAGCAGCTGCGACACAAACTGTCATGCATATGGGATGCCAGCATTGTCAGACAGCAGCTTAACCCACTCCGTCACAGTGCCAGTGCCAGTGAGTCTGTTTTTTCTCATATTTTTATTCTTCAGTGGCAGAGACCTGTGTTCCGGTTCGAAACATGAGTAAATCTTATGCACAAGAGAGGCACAGGATTTGACAGCTGTTAGAAAGTATCTGGAGATAAATAGTGCCAGGCTTCAGAGCTAGCCCAGGGGTCTGCCCCCCTGTGGACCAATTCAATACCAGGTGTGGGGCAGGTAGGACTGCTGAGCCCCAACTCCGCCCCTCCCACTCTGCTGAGGGATTCTGTGGACAAGAGATGACATTTCTGACTCGGCTTGCTCAATTCGTCACACCGGTTACCTGTCTCCTGCTGTGACCTGGTGACTAAGGTGAAATACCGCTGGATGGTGTACTGAGCAAGCCGCAGGTTTTCCAGCCCACGCACAGAGTCATTCCCTCTCAGCCAGGTGAACTCTACGTCATTTCCATCGTAGCCCCCTGTCAAATAAAACAGCTGGAGTCAGTGCGAGGATGAACTGATCTGGAAAGTGCTGTAAGACAGAGATAGCATGAGCTCTAGCTTGAGGGTGACACTGGCAAGGATGAGTCCATGCAAAACTTGGCATGACGTCTCCAGTGCAATTGCGGAATCTATTGAGAATTAAATGACCTCCTAAGACTACCCAGGAGAGCTGGTTCTGTGCTAAGCACTATATACACCTGGTGGCTGCTAAGCCTTTAGAAGTGACCTTTGGGACTGGCGCTGTGGTGCAGTGGGTTAGCGCCCTGGCCTGAAGCGCTGGCATCCCTTATGGGCGTCAGTTCGAGACCCAGCTGCTCCACTTCCGATCCAGGTCTCTGCTATGGCCTGGGAAAGCAGTGGAAGATGGCCCCTGCACCCACGTGGGAGACCCGGAGGAAGCTCCTGGCTCCTGGCTTCGGATTTGCGCAGCTAACTGGGGAGTGAACCATCGGATGGAAGACCTCTCTCTCTCTCTCTGCCTCTCCTCTCTCTGTGTAAATATTGACCTTCAGTATTTAAACAGCAGTTATGGAGCACATATCTGTGAACCAGAGAAGACCCAAGAGAGACACTGTCTTTCCAGACAGTCCAGCAGTTCTGAAGGGCTTTCCTGGCACTCTGGAAGCATATTTCCACATTGGTACAAATCCAAAAGCAAAACCAAAAATCCTGTAACTTGCCACATTATTGGCATCTGTAACATGTGTGCTTGAAACCTTAAAGCAATTTACTAATATATATGATAACAGTAGCAACAGTAACTTTTACAAAATATTTCTGTGAAATCCTTCACTCACAAACTTGCAAGAGACATTTCTGCATTTTTTCAATTCTAAAATAGGCATTTTAAATTGCTTCTTTAAAGATTTATTCATTTATTTGAAAGACAGGACACAGGGAAACAGGGAGAGAGAGAGAGGGAGAGAGAGAGAGAGAGAGAGAGAGGAAGAGATATATTTTCCATCTACTGTTTACTCCCCAAACAGCTGAACTACCCAGGGTTGGGCTAGGCCCACCAGGAGTTTATTTATTTATTTAAAGATTTATTTTATTTTTTGAAAGAGTTACAGAGAAAGGTAGAGACAGAGAAGTCTTCCATCAGTGAGCCCACTCCCCAGATGGCTGCAATGGCCAGAGCTGCACCGATCCGAAGCCAGGAGCCAGGAGCCAGGAGCCCCTCCAGGTCCCCCATGGATCGGAAGAGGAGCATCCGGGACTAGAACCCATGCCCATATGGGATGCCGGCACCTCAGGCCAGGGCTTTAACCCGCTATGCCACAGCGCCAGGCCCTAAAACCAGGTGTCTAGAACTCCATCCTGGTCTCCCATATGGGTGACCATGGCCGTCTTCCTCTACCTTTCCAGGTGCATTGGCAGGAAGCTGGATCAGAAGTGGAGCAGCTGGGACTTTAACCAGCATTCCAGTATGGGATGCATCTTAACCTGCTGTGCCACTATGGTGGTTCCTAAGAGGACACATTTTTAAAAAGCTCTGAAGTTTGCATGAATCTTACAATGTGTGTGTGTGTGTGTATGTGTGTATTATAGTTTGCATTTTTCCTAAATATGATTATTCAATAAACACTGTCACTTAGAATTGAGGGACTATATGTTTTCCCATTGTATACATAAAAATTCTTATATTCAGAGAGTTTGCTTAACTTTCTCAAGATCAGAAGGCAAGCTAGAAAAAAAATCAGGATTGTAAAATAGAAAATTTTAATCCCAAAGCCCACAGATGAAGATGATAAAAATAATAATAATGTCTATTGTTTAGTAAGCAACTATAAGAGCCTTATAACATTATCATCTCATTTATCTTCCAAAATGACTCTTTGAGAAGACATATTAATGGCTAATAGGTACACAAGATATTTAACATCATTAATTATTAGGAAATGCAAATCAAAATCGCAAGATACCACTTTGCACTCAATAGAGCAGCTATAATAAGAGGGACAGACAATAACTGGTGCTGAGGGCAAGCTGTCACATTGTCGAATGTTACAACTCCTATGGAAAAGAGTTTAGCAGTTTCTTAAAAACTTCAATGTAGCATTTGACCTAGAAGTCCTCTCCTAGGCATTTACCCAAGAGAAATAAAATCATGTTCACACAAAAACTTGTACACAAATGTTCACAGCGGCATTATTCCTAACACCCCAAAGATAGTAACAAACCAAGCATCCTAACCGATGAATGTACACCTGTGCCTTGCCTGTACTCTGCCTGTACGTGTACCGGTACCTGTAGCCTTATCTATCTCTACATGAAAGAATGCTGTTGCAACTCAGGAACAAAAAGGATGAATCCCTGATCCATGCTACAGCATGTCTGAACCTCAAAAACAATCCACTAAGTGGAAGAAGCCAGATGCCAAAAACCACAGATTGTACTGCTTCCTTAATATGAAATATGTCACCAAGGCAAACCCTCAGAGACAGAGAGCAGGTTATTGTTGGGGGGCGGGTGGGGGGAATAAGGAGTGATTGCAGATGAGCACTTGGGGTCTCTCTGGGGTGACAGAAGCCTTCTTGCAAAGCAGTATGGCAATGGGTTCACAACTCCTTAAATCTACTAAAAATCTTTGCCCACTTAAAATGCACCCATTTTATGATATGTGCATTAAACCTCAATAAGGCTGTTAAAAGACAACCCACTGAGCCAGACTATTATTTTTCCTACTTCACAGATGAGGGACTGAGGACCACAGAGGTTGGTTACTCAACAAAAGTCGCACAGCTAGTGATAAGAAAAGTCTTGTGATTTCAGTACCTGTGATTTTAAACACACAACTCCACTGCTTTCCATTTCAAAGGCTACTGAGAAATGTGACATACTGTTAAGTCTCAGTTTATGAGAGCCATTGTCTGGTGGGCTTATCTCCCTCTTCACAGGAAAGACAAATCTGGCCATAAGCTCATAGGGGATTTTCAGGTAAAAATGGAGGGCTTTCCTTTAGAAGCATGCAAAAGTATCTGGAAGCCAGCTTAGTTATCCAGACAGGTGTGGGATCCCTACTCCACCCCCTAAGTGAAAAATACCTCCAGAAGTGGGCAGTGCAATTCACACTTGGACCCTTTGCTTTGACAATGAGCAAATGCTCCCAATCCTTACACGGTTGCCTCTCTTTCCCATATCTGGCGGATAGGGGGAATTGGGAGGTGGTATCCGTTTTCTAGGGACAACGTTCAGAAGGAAATCCTTAGCAAGGGTTCTGTACCCAAATAACTGCTAATAAGCATTCAGTAAAAGATCCCTCTGCTCACTAGGGATGGTATCTGGGTAAGCAGAGTGCTGAAGTTTCCAGGAGAATCTTGCGCCAGGGATTTCAGATGAGCCCAGCCAAGACACATGGAGGCCAATTACTTCTTCCACGTGGGACTAAAACGAGTCCTCTTTGTGATCAACTCAAGTTTTATTCTGCCACCAAACAGCTGTATTGTTTGCAGACGGGTTTGCATGCATTTCATCAATGAGATAATTAAGCTGAATCTTTAATTAAATGTCTACTTCTGAAAAATGGCTCCTGCCTCATCGCAGGCGTGCTTCCCTGATGCTGTCCAGCGTGTCCTCACGTGCGGAGTGCCTGCTAGTCTCTGAAGCTTGACTGTCACTTCCTCCCTTCGCGGCCAGGCCTTCGTGCCTTCATTCGGCCTATCTGCGGCACTGTTTCCTAGCATGGGTGCGCAAGTCTGGTGGGCACTTCAGAGTGGCTTACTAAGGAACAACAGAGATTATTTTAACAATGCCATGGAATTCATTTGACATAATTGAGCAAATTGAGGAAGTTCTCATTCTTCATCACCAGCAAATTTCCAGATTATGATTTAGGTATCCATTGACTGGCATTACCGCCTTAGGCTTCACATACATAGATAATTTCTTTGAGAAGTTGGAAGAAGTCACATGAGAGATGTCATGGATTGCTTTGTGTATTTGTAATTTCTAACCTCTGCTGTGTTCCTTCTTGTTTCCCTTGCCTTACTACATTCTGTGTCATACTCCTCCTTGTCCTTTTGGCCAACCCTAATGTCTTATTCTGAGTGACACATCTCTTGGGAAACCTCTGAACTCCCCCAGGTCTCCACAATACCATTGCTTTTTTTTTTTTTTTTGACAGGCAGAGTGGTCAGTGAGAGAGAGAGACAGAGAGAAAGGTCTTCCTTTTGCCGTTGGTTCACCCTCCAATGGCCGCCGCAGCCGGCGCGCTGTGGCCGGCGCACCGCGCTGATCCAATGGCAGGAGCCAGGTACTTATCCTGGTCTCCCATGGAGTGCAGGGCCCAAGCATTTGGGCCATCCTCCACTGCACTCCCTGGCCACAGCAGAGAGCTGGCCTGGAAGAGGGGCAACCGGGACAGAATCCGGCACCCCGACCAGGACTAGAACCCGGTGTGCCGGCGCCGCAAGGCGGAGGATTAGCCTAGTGAGCTGTGGTGCTGGCTACCATTGCTTCTTACTGTTACCATATATTCTTCCCTAATTACTTCAAAGTCCTGTATTAGACTAAAAGCATCTTGAATATGGGAACGTCAATTTATCTTTGCATTGAAAATACCTACCACCATGAGTAATACGGAGCAATCATTGTGTGTTGAATGGATGAAATGATTGCATTTAAATGAAGACAGACAAGCAGAACTCAACCAGGCATACAGGCTAGCTGGAGACTACAGGAACGACATGCCAAACTACATTGTTGAGATGATACTAATAGCTTTCCTTGGGACACACAGGAAAGGGAAAATACTGGCTTTGATCCTGAGTCATGACAAGGAGCTGGCACAGGAATATGTTTGGGATCATGATATGGTCTGGTGTTCAGCTCAACATTCCAGCAGGATTTGGGCAATCCTAAACAAGTATCATGAGATTACTCGATTTTTGGAAAATAATAATAAATGGGTACTGGAGAAACTGGGAAGGAGTTATTAAAAATTATCCTCATATTACTGTTTAAAGGCATTTTATGGTGCCCCCAGGAAAAAAAATATAGCTCAGGTCACAAACAAGCCTCTGGGACAGTGTCTCAGTGTGACTCCAGCTGAGTGGAAGAGCTGTCAGAACTAGCAAGCCTTTGGAATCAACACCCACTTGGGGCCCGCACTGTGGCGTGCAGGTAAAGCCGCCACCTGCAGTGCCAGTATCCCATATGGGCACCGGTTCAAGTCCCTTCTGCTCCACTTCTGATCCTGCTCTCTGCTGTGCCCTGGAAAAGCAGTAGAAGGTGGCCCAAGTCCTTGGACCCCTGCACCCACGTGGGAGACCCGGAAGAAGCTCCTGGATCCTGGCTTCAGATCAGCACAGCTCCAACCATTGTGGCCGTTGCGGCCAACTGGGGAGGGAACCAGTGGATGGAAGACTCTCTCTCTCTCTCTCTCTCTCTCTCTCTCTCTCTCTGTGTGTGTGTGTAACTCTGAATTTCAAATAAATAAATAAATCTTTTAAAAAAATACCCACGCTATCTGGGTTCAAGTTTCAGTGCTGATACTTATTATTGTGTTCCTTTGAGAAAGTTACTACATCATAATGAGCCTCAATTTCTGTTCCTGTAAGGTGAAAAAAGCGGTATTCATCTCAGGATTCTGAAAAACATCTAATAGATTGCCTGGCAGGGAGAAAGCAACTGATGAATGGATGCTATAGTATTTATCAGGAAAAGAACATTTATATTATGATTGTTGCTGATGAAAAAGTTCAAGCAGATCAGGGCACTGGCAGGCTGGAGACACCTGTGTTGTCTCCTGCCAGAAGTCTATAGTTCACTAGTCTCTCTCCCTTCTCTGCAGTGCTTTGTGAGGCTGTTTTAGAAAACACAGTGCCTGGGGCCGGCGCTGCAGCTCAATAGGCTAATCCTCTGCCTTGCGGCGCCGGCACACCGGGTTCTAGTCCTGGTCGTGGAGCCGGATTCTGTCCCGGTTGCCCCTCTTCCAGGCCAGCTCTCTGCTGTGGCCAGGGAGTGCAGTGGAGGATGGCCCAGGTGCTTGGGCCCTGCACCCCATGGGAGACCAGGATAAGTACCTGGCTCCTGCCATCGGATCAGCTTGGTGTGCTGGCTGCAGCGCACCGGCCACGGAGGCTATTGGAGGGTGAACCAACGGCAAAGGAAGACCTTTCTCTCTGTCTCTCTCTCTCTCACTGTCCATTCTGCCTGTCAAAAAAAAAAAAAGAAGAAGAAGAAGAAAGAAAACACAGTGCCTGGGGCAGGCGCTGTGGCGCAGTGGGTTAAAGCCCTGGCCTGAAGTGCCGGCATCCCATATGGGCACCAGTTCTAGTCCACTTCTGACTCTAGCTCTCAGTCTAGTTCCACTTCTGATCCAGCTCTCTGCTATGGCCTGGGAAAGCAGAAGATGGCCCAAGTCCTTGGGTCCCTGCACCTGCATGGGAGATTTGGAGGAAGCTCCTGGCTGCTGGCTTTGGACTGGCACAGCTCTGTCCTTTGCGGCCATCTGGGGAATGAATCAGCAGATGGAAGACCTTTCTCTCTGTCTCTACCTCCCTGGAACTCTGTCTTTCAAATAAATAAAATAAATCCTTAAAAAAATAAGTAAACACAGTGCCTTTGCCTATCTGTGGGCAAATGAAAAGAACATTGACAAAAAGTCCGTGACCTCTTCAACAGCTTCTGTAGGACCTGTGGTTATTGGATTTTGGTGGTGTGAGGGGTGGAGTGGGTGAAGACCATGCCTACGGGTGACTATGAAGAACTCACCTCTCATCATGGACCTTTTGAGGCTTAGTAGCCAAATAAATGGCATGAATAGAGAAAAGTTTAGGTATCAGGAGAGAGTCTAGCTCTGTAGTCACCAACATACTTTATAAAACGACCGTCCAACAAGAACACGCAGGAAGCAGTATGACATGGCTAAGTAGGTTTGGAAAATGCTACCACCGCGTTCTGGAATTTCACTTGTAATGATCTTATTAGAGGTTTTTAGAAGTTCTGTGGCAGAGGAGAAGGTTAATAATTCAGGTTTTGCAGGCCAGACAGGCTCTGCCACAAGTACTCAATTGTGCCTTTGCAGTGCAAAAGCTGACATAGACAAGAGGTAGATGATGGGCATGGCTGTACACCAGTGAAATTTCATTTGCAGAAACAGGTGGTGGGCTGGATTTGCCACATGCTCCCTGGTCTAGACCACTACTTGCATTAAAGCATTTCCTTGGTCTCGTCTACTCGCAGGTGGGGGTATCTGGTACTGATGCTCGGCGGTCCTCCCCTAAAAGTGCAGTGTTGGAAAGTTCCTCAGAAGAGCCCCTAGGTCTGTCTGGAAGCATAGTCAGAGGGGCTGAGTGAACTTGTGAATCCACAAAAGAAAGGAGAGGACACTCTACTCGTCTACTCTACACTGTTCATGAGCACAGGGAGCCAAGCCTCCCGGGAAAATCACCACTGGGGGCTGCAGGGTACTCACAGCTCTCCAGCTGCAGCTTGCACGTCTGTGTGTCCATGGGGTATTTAGAAAGATCCATGTTGCACGCAACCGTCGTGGTGATTCTAAGAAAAGGGGATTCAAAGGGAGTGTTACGAGCAAGGTGTGAAAGTAGCCATTCCCTCGCTACTTCATGAGGACTTTCACCTGACTCTTACAGTGACACATGCCTTGGCGCCTACATCCAAAGTGTCCTTGAGATTTTCTGTCCTAAACAACACTTGTGAGACTCAGTTAAAGCGGGGTCCAGAGTGCAGAAAGTTGGGGTGCTGCCAATTCAGGGGCAGAATCCCACCATAGTGCAGAGCAGACTCACTCATTGGCTTGTTGGAGATGTTGTTTCCATCCAGCTTTGAAGTGTAATCTTCAGACAAACCCTCATGGGGCTAGAACAGTGATCCCGGTCACATCATCACTATTTGGTAATAGTCTTGGGGACTAACCTTGGCTCACACAGCCCCAAATGGCAGAGCCGAGACTGGGGCCCAGGTCTCCTGGCTGGGCTCTGCTCACAGCTCCCTGCCTCCTGGAGGGGTTCAGGATCCTGCAGAGGAAGTGGAGGGCACCAGGGCCTGTGGCTTGTGGGCTTAGCACCCGGAGATATGCAATCAGTGCTCAATTAGTGAAGCCCTCACAGTGGGAATGTGAATTGATAGGGCCTTATTGTCCTTCTTCTTCAGTGCTACACATTTTCATGAAACACCCGTATTAATCAAGCACTGTGGAGGTGATGATGTCACGGTGCCACCAGGAGACAGCTCAAACTCCTTTACAGGAGCCAGAGAGTAGCGCCAACTACAATTTACCAAGTGCTTACTGGTGGTCATTCCTTGAGCTGAGAGCTTCACACCTGTTATCCCTTTGCACAGCTCCACTGCTAAGAAAATAATAATATGTTTCTCCATTTTGTGCTGAGGAAACAGGCTCAGAGTCAAGTAATTTTCTTAAGGCCACAGAGGTTCCAAGGGGGCGCAACAGGAACTCGCAGTCTAATCTGCCTGACTCAATTACCCGTTACCCATCATTTGCCACCTGACACAGAGTAGTTCTCTGTGCCACAAGAAACATGAACATGCATGCGTGCAGACATGCACATGGCCAAATGCACACATACACTGTGGGAACACGGAGAAGGGCATTAATGCAGACTGGGGATGGCGTTCAAAGGGAAATTCTAGTTAGGGTTCATGAAAGAGGAGTTGAGGGGCCAGCCTTGTGATGCACCAGGTTAAACCACTGCCTGTGGTACTGGCATCCCATATGGGCACCAGTTTGAATCCTGAATGCTCCACTTCTGATCCAGCTGCCTGCTAATGCACCTGAGACAGCAGAGGAGGATGGCCCAAGCAATTGAGCCCCTACCACCCACATGGGAGACCAGATGGAGCTCAAGGCTGCTGCAGCCATTTGGGGAGTGAACCAGCAGATAAAAGATCTCTTTGTCTTGTAATTTTGCCTTCCAAATTAATAAATAAATCTATAAGAAAAATCTGATGCAACCAATGGGTGTCCAGTGATTCAATTAACAGAGCAGCTGGGTCCACCCTTGATTACTCCAGACTCTTTCTTGGGATTAAAGATCAGTCCCGTGGATATTTGGCTTCCACTCCTCTCCCCAGGGCCTCTGAGAGTGTTAGGTGTGCATGGTCCTTGCACATCCCTTGCTCAGCATGAGTCTTCTGCCTCGGGGCTGCCGCATGCAGCACCTTGGAACCCCCTTTCATGTTCCACCAACCAGCATCTCTATGGACAAACGGGCAGAGGGAGTTTTGACCCCTGAGGTTTGGGAAGGGCCGAGGGGAGTGGATGGGTGCAGATGGCAGAGGCCTTGCAGTCCTGCACCTCTCTGAGCACACTTGACTCATACAAGTACAGATTCTGGATCTCTATTCTGGAGCCACCCCTGCTCCACGGGGCCCAGGGGAAGGAAAGTTCTCGAATGCTCCTGTGTTTGCTACTTGACATGGTCTTTCCTTCTTCCCTCGCTAACTTCCTTTCACCCTTTAGCATTTGCTCAGAATCCTGTGCCAACATCCTCTACCATCACCCCAGACCACTAACCCCCTCCTCAACTTGGGTGCAAACACCTGGGTCTTCCCTTGTTTCCCTGTTTGTGTTTTGGAGGACAGGATGAAGCTGTATGTTCAGCTCTGTGCTTTAAGTGTTCAGCCCAAGGCCTGGCACAGAGCAGCTGTTCAGTGGACTAGGAAAGGGCTCTTCTGTTACAGGAACCAGGATCCACGGGGCAGGAGCACGGGATGTATGTGACCTCAGAGTGGCTCTTTCAGTAGAGATCAGAGTGATCCAGGGTGTGTCTATGCCTTTTTCTGCAGCTCGGGGCGGTCCCAGGTGCCTGCTTACCTGAGTGCGTACAGGACCGTGCCATTGGAGAAGAGGCGGATGAGCCTGTTTCCCACGGTGACTTCGTGGAGGAAGGACTTCTTGGACTCCACGATGTAAGTGTCTGGCACCCAGAGAAACTCCACAAGGCGGGCGTCCAGCGTGAAGCTCTTGTTGCCTTCAAATACCAGCCGCTGGTCTGCCCAGCGCTGTCGGAGGTATATGGTGGCTGTGTAGTCCTGGGGGAGGCAAGGGATGGAGATGGACGGGGTGGGGAGGGGGCAGGAGAGGACAAAACAAAATAAAACATAAGCCCCTACCCCCTTCCACTTTGATCAAGAGCACACACACACACACACACGCACATGCACACACACACACACACACACACATGGCCGCATAAGCTTCTGTCTCGGCAACAGGGGACTGTAGCAATGAGAAGGCTTTGCATATTCTAGATGATAACTCCCACTGCCAAAGAGAAAACTCACATCCAGGGCCTTCACTCACTGGGCATGGAGGCTCACGTTGCCCTAGTCCACAGAGCCTCCCTCTCCCCCAGAGGATTGTCGAGAGAGCCCCTTGGATGCTCGGGTTTCAGCAGCTTCTCACACTCTCATGCTCCCCCACGACCTTTTTCTTCTTTTCCTCAATTTTTCTCTCTCACTAAACTACCCAACTTTCTTCCAGAGTTTCTCTCTTCCTGGCCTTTGAGCCCACTTTCCTCCCAATACTCAGATCATCTACGAGAATCTCCTCCTGTCCCGATTTTGGGGCTACGACTCCAACTTCTGCCTCGCCAAGTGCAGGAAGGCTGTGAGTGTGCTTTCCTGGGTTGGAATAGCCAGAAAGCGTGTGCCCGCCAAACACAGGGACAGGGGCTCCCCGGGTGGAGCACAGAGGGGCCACACTCACCATGTTACTCTCGGATATGCTAGAAATACTCGCAATGTCCAGGGTGAGCGCTATCTGGACAGGTTCTCCTAAGAATGAAGAAACAAAGAGACAAAAACACCAGTAAGATTGACATAGACACACAAACTGAAGCTTTCCCAACACTCCCTTGGTGCATTAAAAAATACTATTAAAATGACAAAAGTAATACTTTAATACTTGCTTGTTAGAAAAATGTAAACAACCTGGAAGTGTAGATGAGTTTCCACCTTCCTCTTCTCGGGAGGAACCCGGCTTTATATGCACAGACATCAAAGCTGTCTCAGTAGGAGACAGACCACGCTTCTTAACTGTGCATTAACTAGTGCATGTGTCACAGAAAGCGGCCGGGAGGATTTTCCCGTGGTGCCTGCAAGGGCCGGGTCATTGAGAAATGTAACAGAGCTTGGCTCATCTGATTGTGCGGAGAAGTCTTTTTCTGCCCCCTGCCAAGCACATTGACCGCAGAATGACCTTCAAGGCTGCTCACAGCTGAGCTCTTGCTGACCTCCCAATACTTTCCTCCTCTTCCTTCCCTCTCCAGGAACCCTAAACTCTTCATAATTCTGGAACCTTCCCCACTGGGTGCTGTGCACACAGACCCTGTTGGGCCTGGATCCTGGATTCTGGGCAGATGCCCCCAGCGCAGTCAGGGCTCTGTGCAGTGTTAGCTCTGCAGGCTGAGGCCTCAGAGCCGCCTTGTTGAGAAGCCAGGGCAGACCAGGCCAGGGCAGGGTTCTCCACTGTGGAAGAAAAGGCTGGAGTTTGAAAGATGTGGGTCTAGGTGTCAGCTCTGGCCCGTCCCAGCTCTGTGATCTGGGAAAAGTTTCGGGATTTTTCGGAGCTGTGATTTTCTCACCCAAAGCAGGAAGAATTAAATGAGGGTGCTGGGTCGTGGAGAGGGTCCCTGCCGATTAGACGTGTGCACAGTGCCCACCCTGCACTCCTGGAAGGCGCTCCTGAGTGGTTGTCTGGACCAAGTCCCCACATGGGGTCTGTCATGTAATAAAAGGGGCTCCACCAATGAGACTCCCCCTCCTTTCCCACCTCTTCCCAAACCCTGGCCAATGTTGGAGAAGGAGCCACTTTGCTTACCAGGTGAAGAGCTGCAGTAACATTCATTTGCAGCGAATGCCTGAGGGTGCCTCAGAGGTCAGGGACAATGCATTAGCCAGGAAGAAGAGAGGTGGGATTTAAAGGAAGCTCAAAACACATCTAATCAGTAGGGACCAAAGAAGCCTAAGTACTAATCTAAGGAAATTAAGCCATGGAATGTAGGTAGGAATGAGGAAATAGTGCTTTAGAGCCAATGAAATTAAAGCATAATTAAATAAATTATAAATAAGTAAAAAAATAATTGAGTGGAAAAGGGGAGATCTTGCAGGGTGGACTGTGGAAGGCGCTGAAGGGGTGCGGTGCTAAGTGGTCTTCTGACCCTCTAGGCAGCAAGGTGCGGGGCCAAGAAGGGGAGCTTGGAGTCAGAAAGAACTTTTTGAGTCTAGTTCTGGCCTCTCAACAGCCTCGGGACCTCAAGCGATTGCTAAACCTCTCTGTGCTATGGGTTCTCACCTGTAAAAGAGAGTTTACTAGTGCTGCTACAGTTTGAATGCTTGTCCACTCCCAAATGCAGGCTGAAATTTAATTGCCAATGCAATAGTATGAAGAGGTAAGACCAGGCCGGCACTGTGGCATAGTGGGTAAAGCCTCTGCCTGCAGTGCACTTGAACTGCAAGTTCAGCAAAGGGGGTCTTGAACACTTCTCTATGTGGCTCAGGGAGCTGGCCCACACGCCTTTGCACCTGACCCTCAAGTCTAACTGCCAGAGCCGAATACACCTCTCTTTCCTTCACAAGCAGTCATCTCAATGAGCGGCGGCACTGTGGCATAGCAGGTAAAGTTGCCACCTGAAGCGCCGGCATCCCACATGGGCGCTAGGTTCTAGTCCTGGTTGCTCCTCTTCCGGTCCAGCTCTCTGCTATGGCCTGGGAAAGCAGTGGAGGATGGCCCAAGCGGTTGTGCCCCTGCACCCGGGTGGGAGACCTGGAAGAAGCTCCTGGCTCCTGGCTTCAGATCAGCGCAGCTCGGGCTGTTGCAGCCGTTTGGGGAGTGAACCAGCAGATTAAGACTTCTCTCTGTCTTTCTACCTCTGTTTCTCTGTAACTTTGCCTTTCAAATAAATAAATACATCTTAAAAAAAAAAAAAGATTCTTTGAAAGGACTTAGCCTAGAGCTGAGCAGACATAAAGCCGATCTTACTATTACAGGGTGAGGGTTATGATTTGAGGGTATCATTCAAATGTGAAGAAATGGGATGGACCCTGGAGGAATCAGAGAAGGAGTCTCACAAGCTGTGGCCTTTGAGCTGGGAGGGAAACTGGCATCTCTCCAGGGACTCAGTTGGAAGGGCAATTCCATGCAGATAAATGGTCTCTTTGTGCAAAGGCACAGAGGCTGGGAGTGTTTGGGACTCACTGTGGAGCACTGTGCTGGGTGCGGGGGATGAGAATGGCAGAGAGAGCCCGGACTGGGAGGAGAGCGGCTCGTTTAGACTCCAGAATGGGATGCTGGGGTGCGTGCAAGTGTCCTGAGCTGGCCAATGACCCAGGGAGATCACCCAGCTGGTAGTGTGGACAGGTAGCCATGCAGGAAGTCCTTGTGGCACAAGGTGAGTGGTGACGCTGGGAGTCAAGGCAGAGGAAAGATGGTGCATGGGAGGCTGGTGTGGGGGGGTGGGGGTGGGGCTCCCGCAGCCTCCTGCCAGGGTGAGGGAAAAACAAGTGCTTTCTTCAAGGTCATGTGAAGAATCCATGTCAACTATCCTGAGCCATCGTTATTAACCCTTTATCAGCCTGCAGGTCAGAAAATGAAGTCAAGCAAACTCTCAAAGCCCTCTGCTGCATATTGTCCTGTCCTTCAGAATTGAGAACCTACCGCCAAAATTGGGCCTGAGAAATTTGTTGTACCCTGCTGTGAGGTTCTCGAAGCCGGGCAGGGACAGCTTGTCGCTTCTGCTGACCTCGATGTTAAACTGATGCCCTTGGATGCACATCCTGGAGAAGAAAATGGTTTTCATCACACATGCTTCTTTAGGAGTGAATAACCATGTCCACATGTAAATCTGTGTCTCTGCATGTGTGCACATGTGTACGTGTGCCACCCACATACCAGCAGTGACTTTGCTAAAGAGAAATCTCTTCATTTTTCAACTGGTGAATTAGCATCTCCCTCAGGTTACCCATTTGCCATAGATCAAAATAGCATGAAAATTTGGGAAGCTTCCAAGTACCAGGTAGGAAGAGGTGCCTCCCTGCCCACCGCATCCCACACACACAGCAATTCAGGCCAAGGTCATTTTGGAGTAGCAATGCTCACCTTCCAGCCAAGAGATGCAGACACACCAAGGTCAAGTGGAGTCTGTAGCTCATGTTGGGGAGCTGCCCACACAGAGAGGGGTTGCCGTGGGAACCACCTAAGGAAACATGGGGCAAGGTGAGAGGCAGACCAACCTGAGGGCTCACCTCCGCCCCCTTGTGGCTCATCAGTGCAACATTTTCTCTACAAGCTCAGGGAACAGCCGGTTTCCACACTTTGCGGTTACAGCTCCTGCTCCCTGTGGGACACGAGGAACGATGTCCACCTGGAGGATTATGTTTGAAATCCCCCCTTAAAGAGGCTGAGACTATGTTTAGACAGTGGTTCCCCAGCACTAGAAATGCAGCCAGTCTGCCCTTCCCTCGTCCTTGTCCTGCCTTGACTAGGAAGGACATCCCCTACTCCACATCGCTCTGACCAAGCCAGACACTTCTCTGCTATTTCCCATGTGCCAAGAAATGTGTAGGCACTTGCCCACAAAGGATGTCACTGAACTCTTTCCATGGCCTTGTGCGGTGGGCACATCTCTGTTTTACGGGGAGGCAGCCGTCTCGTGGAAAGAACCCCAGGCTGGTGAGTGCCGCAAGAGACCTGGGGGCCAGGACAGGCTGCCTGTTCCCCCTCAGCACTCTTTTCTTTCAGAACTGGCTGGGACCTGAGCTTTGCTGGGCCCAGGGACACCCACTGCTTTCGACACCTCCCAGACATCTGTAGATGCTTAGCTGTGGGTGTGCGAGAGGACCATGTGCAGATGTGCCTCGGGGTCTGGCCTCTTTCGATCCCGGAGCTGCCACCAGATGTCCCTCGGAGTGAGCAGGAAGCAGCTGGACAGGGGGTGTCACAGCAGTGAAGCCGAATGGAGGGTTCTTGGGTCAGGCCCCCTTCCCGGCAGCCCCTGGGAGGGAGCGCATCCTTGCCCAAGCTCTGTGAACCAGGCCACTTGCTGAAACCCAGCCATTCTGGATCTCAGGGCCTCCTTCAGTACTCAGGGCCTCCTAGCAGTACTGCCTTACAAACACAGCACCTGCTCTTCGTAGAAAGGCAAGGACAGAAAGGAGTGAGGTTAAGCACGGAAGTCCCAGCGATGTGTCAAGTTCGTTGCTTCCCACAAATGTCCCACTCTGGTGAGGAAGGCCATATGTGTGCGGGGGCTTAATTTCTCTGTGGACCTAAAACTTCCTTAAAACAAAGTCTGTTCTAAAAACACAGAAGCAAACACAAAAGCGTTAAGTTCCTCCCCGTGCCTTCTCTGTAGCCTAGTATCTTAGAGATAACCACGGTCAACTATTGTTATTTTCCATTCATACCAAGAGTCATCAAAAAGTTCATGGAAACTGTGTATCATGAAATCATGGATTTCAAAAAAAAGTTCTTTGCACAAAATAAGCTTATCTTTGATCTCATTTTTCTACCAATGCCTTGAAGTCCCTCCCACAGAAAGCAGTCTAGTGTGTCACAGAATATTTTTCTAAGTTCTTTGTTTTCTATAAAAAATTGTTTTTAAAAGTGTTCCTATCATCAGAGTGGTTGTAGGTCTCTTTCAAAATATAATGTACTGGGGCTGGTGCTGTGGTGTAGCAGGTAAAGCCGCCGCCTGCAGTGCCGGTATTCCATATGGGTGCTGGTTCAAGTCTCGGCTGCTCCACCTCCGATCCGGCTCCTTGCTATGGCCTGGGAAAGCAATGGAAGATGACCCAAGTCCTTGGGCCCCTGCACCTGCATGAGAGACCCAAAAGAGGCTGCTGGCTCCTGGTTTCAGATTGGTGCAGCTCTGGCAATTGCGGCCAATTGGGGAGTGAACCAGCAAATGGAAGACTCTCTCTCTCTCTCTGTCCCTCTCTCTGTAACTCTGTCTTCCAAATAAATAAAAAAAAAATTTTAAAAAATAGAATCACAGGGAGGAACTCTGTTCTGGAGGGAAGAAAGTTGTAAGCTGTATGATGCATATCTTTGCCATCATATATGGATAAAAATATCAGCTGCGCAATTCTGTTGTTTCAAATGGGTGCTGTTGGCCTCCCTGCCCCTAAACGAAATCTTTATTTTAGGCTGGCTATTTTATTGTAAATTAAACCATTCTGATTTTTAAAAATGTTGATTGAATGTTTTTCTTGTTAAATAATGTTAAAAAATATAAAAACTGGGGGCTAGTGTTGTGGGGTAGTGGGTAAGGATACCTGTAATGCTGCCAGTTTGTATCCCAGCTGCTGCACTTCCAATCCAGCTCCCTCTTAATGGTCTGGGGAAAGCAGCAGAGGATGGTCCAAGTGTTTGAGCCCCTGCAACCCCTATGGGAGACCTGGATGAAGTCCTGGCTTCTGGCTTCAACCTGACCCAGCTCTGACCATTGCAGCCATTTGGGGAGTGAACCAGGGGTGGAAGAGTCTCTCTCTCTCTCTCTCTCTCTCTCTCTCTCTCTCTCTTTCTCTCTCTCTGACTTTCAAATAAATAAACATACTTAAAAAATAAAAACTGGAAGTTCAAAAAACTCAGTAATGAACATTTTGCATTCAAATAAGCTCTTATAATTCTGCACCCTAATGTTTTTCTACCTTGGTCCTTTCTTTCTCGTTCATAAAAAACACCAGCTACAGAATCAACATGAGCAATCCACCAGTGATCACATTCATACTTCCTCCCTTTGGTCCACGTCCCCCAGCCCCGTCCTCCCCTGTCCCCAGCGTCAAGTGTACGGGATCCATGGGTCCTCACCCCCTCACCCAGTTGTCCAAAGGTTGTACAGGTTCCTCCTAGGAACCTGGTGCACAGAGAAGCGAGCAGTCAGCTCCAGAAGGGAGGGAGGGGGCCGTCCCAGGATGGAAGTCATGGAGACAACCACTTGATTCTTGAGAGTGTGCTGCATTTGCGAAGTGGACAAGGAGGGTAAGGGCCCTCTTAGTGTTGGACAGAGATGTGGAGGCTTGCCACTGGCCACTCCCCTACCGGCTTATACTGTCTCTTCCCCCAGCCCGTGGCCATCCGCAGCTTCCTCCAAGATCAGCCTGAACTAGGTCGGTTCTCATTTTGAGATAATCCTCAATTCTCCCTCTTTCTGTGGGAAATTGCCCCTCTTCAAAAGGTTTATGGGAAAATGGAATGAAAGGATAAAGTTATTTTGCTGCAAAAATTTTTGCAATCTATGAATGGTTTTTCATAAGCAATTTTCCACAAACTTATTGAAGCCCCTGCAGACTGGAGAATGGCCCAGTCTTTCAGCTCCAGGACTCCCAATGAGTAGCATCTTCCCTGTGGCTAGCTCTGTGTTAGGGTGAGAAGACGGAGGGGCCCGGGGCCCCTGTCCTTCCATAAGGAGGCTCTTTCTTTGAGAACCTTTACCCCAGCCGGAACCAGAAATGTGACCCCCGCCTACTCGGCTTGCTCTGGAGAGCATATCTGGTTCTACAATGGAGAAAAGGAGAAGGAGGGGAAGACATCTAAATGCTTGCTGGTGTGCCGTGCTATGGTGAATCTCATTTAATTCTCACGGCCGTCTAGCCCAGCAGGTGTTCGTGTTTAAAGTTGGGGCTCAGATTTGGCTGAGATCATGCAGCAATGACATGACCAGAACTGCCCTCTCTGTCTTCCACGTCCCTGTCCTTTGCACTGGGTGCAGGAGGAGGACCCCAGCCCCCCAAGATGAACTGAGTCACACTGGACTCCTGTCCTTCTTACACCAAACCCATTTCTGAGAAGGAGAGACAGAAGCAGCTGGTGCCATCACCCCATGGGGCAGAGGAGCCGACCATTCAGTGGCTATCTAGGTATTCACCAGGCTGAAGAAGGGTAGCTCAGGTCGGGGTCCTGATAAGACTCTGGGCTTGGCATCTAGCAGAGAGACGATGCACTGAGCCACTAGAGGGCAGTGTCTCTGCACCTCCAACGTGGAGGACCCGACAGCAATCCTGGAACCTGCACCTGCGGGGAACCTGGTGCTCAGATCACAGGAGGCTACCGAGGAGGGGCAGAACATGCACTCTTACCCTACCCTGAGGGCCTCTCCTGCTAAAATCATCTCACCTCTTCCTGGAGAGGAGAGCTCGAGCTGCGGACTGCCACCCACTTGAGTGATTTAACTTCTTGGAGCCTCAGTTTTCCTGTCTGGCAAATGGGAATAGAAAACACTCACTAAACATGAACTTGACTTCTCCTCCCACTCCAGTGCCTTCCATGGGGAATTCAGGGATCCCACTATGACTGAGAAACCGCGAACTCAAGCCCTTTCCAGCTGCCACATTCAGGGCACAAAGGCCACCTTGGTGGCTGAGGGCATTCTTTTTCTAGATTGAGAAGTGGAGGTCCTTCTAATACCTTCCCAGGGTCCGCAGCACACCAACACTGCACAGCTTAAATCTAAACTCCAGGTTCCATGCTCAGGCACTGCTTCTCTGTTCTCAGTCACTTTAGCATAGACAGAATTGTTTGTGGGGAAGCAGACGGGCAGCCCAGGTTAGGCTGAGATGGGGAGAGGTATGGGTGCATTGGGTCCCCTTTAAGAAACTGAGAAACAAGGGCCGGCAATGTGGCTAGTAGGCTAAGCCTCTGCCTGCAGCACTGGTAACCTATATGGGCACTGGTTTGAGACCCGGCTGCTCCTCTTCTGATCCAGCTCCCTGCTGATGGCCTGGGGAAGCAGCAGAATATGGCACAAATGCTTGGGCCCCTGGACCTGCATGGGAGACCCAGAAGAAGCCCCTGGCTCCTGGCTTCTGATCCTCCCAGCTCCAGCCATTGCAGCCATGGCCATTTGGGGAGTGAACCAGCAGATGGAAGACCTCTCTCAGTGTCTCTCCCTCTCCCTGTCTGTAGTTCTACCACTCAATTAAATAAATAAAATCTTTGAAAAAAAAAAAAAAAAAGGAACTCAAGAGATAAAGGGATGCGAGTGTGCCCTGTCTGTGGGCTTTGGCTGCCTGGCAGTCCAGAGGTGAACACTTCTTAGTTAATTAGTTAATTAATTAGCTTTACATTAAGAATAGTTGTGCATACTGATGGGGTGCAGTGTGACATTTCAACACCCGGATGCAATGTCACCAACAGTCCCCCACTCTCCTGGCCATTACGTGGTGATTGGAGCCGTGGCCACCTGTCTTCTGTCTGCTCAGGAAATGCATGCGGGTGGCTGAGAAGTGGAGCCCCACTGGGAGCTGACTCCTTCTGTCTCACTCTGACCTGGGGCTCTGGTCTTGGCTCTGGGATGGTGCGCCCCTCACTGTGGCCTAGTTTCCTCCTTGCAGAAGCGATGGTCATCACTAGTGCATGCGATGCTAAGAGCTGATACAAAGGAGGTGCTTGGGCAGCCCTGGGCCCTGCCGCCTTCCCTCAGGGCCAGCAGGGCCTGTATTTGGGTCTCCTTCCCTCCCATCTCTAAGCTCCAAGCAGGGCCAGCAGTTCCCTTACCAGACAGCTGTGGAGGCTCTGTTAGGGCAGGTGCTTTCGGCCTTCAGGTAGGACTTTCAGGCAAGGCATGGTCTTCTGGGTCCTCAGGTCTCTCCCCATGCTCCGCCCTGCCCCTTGGATGTGGGCATGCAGCCACTCTCTGATGGAGTGGCTCTGCCCCTCTCTCCTCTGGAGAGAGCCGCTGAACCAGCAGGGGCAGTAACAGAGGTGGGCGTGGCCTGCCATGGCTCCTCCCCTGATGGAGCTCTGATTGCTCCCCACCCCCATTCCCTGTGGGAATTGGCCAGCGGCTGGCAGAGCTACTGGGAGGCTACAGAGGGCTAAGACTGCTTTGCACCCGTGTCCCAGAGCAGGCAGCCTGTCAGAACTGGGTACCGTGCTTGGGGCTGTGAGCTCCCGTGTTTGCTGTGCTACTGGCCCCAGCCAGAAGAGACCCAGGAGAGGTTAGCTCTGAATTTGCCCCCCGCCTGGTACCACAGCACGGAGGGGGTGGGGGTGGCAGCAGCGTGCCCCAGGGAAGCCTTTTCACCTCTTTGGCCCTCAGCTTTCCGTTCACAAAATGAGCGGTTGGCGACTTCTAAAACTCAGATTCCTGGTTGTGCATTTTAAGAGCATCAACAGGAAGCTAACTCTGTGCTAGAAGAGACTTCCAGGCCCCAAGATCTGCTGCTTTTCAGTCTGGCAAGGTCAAACAGAGACACAGAGGCCGAGAGAATGGAGTTCAAGGGGCCAAACCGGGAAGGGGTGGAGAAATATGGCCGGGTGTCTCCATCTCTCCTCCTTCGCCATCCCAGCCTCACCCAGAGAAGTATTTAACTCTCCACCAAAAGTCCTTTCAGGAGCACTCCAGAGATTGATGCCGTCCCCTCCATGGCCATCCAAGCCTCCTGTGGAAGTGCTTCGTCAGAGCTCACTGAGCCCTCACTCTTCCCCCTCCTCCCAGCCCATTGCCCTGGAACTCCAGGGCCTTTCACCTGGAGGCAGCCCGAGAGGAAGCTGAGGCTGTGGGCCCAGGTGCAAAGGCGCTATCTTCCCTTTTTTTTTTTTTTAAGATTTATTTTATTTATTTGAAAGGCAGAGTTACAGAGAGAGAGAGAGAGAGAGAGAGAGAGAGAGGTCTTCCATCCACTGGTTCACTCCCCAGATGGCCACGACGGCTGGAACTGAGCTGATCCAAAGCCAGGAGCTTCTTCTAGGTCTCCCATGTGAGTGCAGGGGCCCAGGAACTTGGGCCATCTTCTACTGTTTTCCCAGGTGCATTAGCAGGGAGCTGGATCGGAAGTGGAGCAGCTGAGACTTGAACTGGCACCCATATGGATGCCAGTGCTGCAGGCTGGGGCTTTAACCCACTGTGCCACAGTGACACACCCCCCCCCCCCACCTCTGCCTTCTGTTCTGATACCACAGCCCAGCTCCTGTGCAGAGAGAGCCCTGCCAGTCCTGGGTACCCAGATTGAGAGGTAGGAGAGAAGGCGACAGGAGCTGCAGGGAGTACAGGAGGGGCAGGAGGGGAGGACCTCGCTGGACAAGGAACCATAGATGCCTTTGGCCCCGAACCAACTTCCTCATGAGTTTCTGGAGTCCCGCCAGCCTCAGACACGCTTCTGTGCTGATGGCAGGGAGCGGGCATCGGGAGAGAAAGCTCATTCACTTCTCCTGAGAGGCCTCACTTTCACCCGGGAGCCTTGAGGGCGGCGGGGACAGGGAGGGCAGAGGCGCTGGTTTTGGGTCCTCCACGAATGGGCAGTGGTTTGGGGCTTTTCTCAGAATTTCTAAGATGTTCTCCTGCAAAACAAAGGCCCAAGAGGAACAAAGACAATTCAGGGTGGGGAGGGTGGGGTGGGAGGGCGTTGAACTGTGACTCAGGAACAGCGGAAATTAGATGAGAAAAAAAAAAAGTTTGGGTAGCTGGATGACTTTGGGAGGGTTCCCTGACCCCTCTGGATCTCAGCTTCTCATCTGACAAATGGGGGTGATGATTCCCCCAGTGCTGCCCCAAGGACTCAGCGCACATTGTAAGTGCTCAACAAATTGTTCTCCTGCTGTTGTGAGTGTATTGCTGTATGTTTGTACTTAACTGCCCAATCCCTACACATGCCATGTACGTGTGTCAGATCTTCCCCTTCTTCATTGTTATCATCATCATCATCATTTATACCTACCTATCCATATCTATTACTGATATCTATCTATCTACCTACCTACCTACCTACGTACCTACCTACTTACCTGTCATCTACCTGTCATCTACTCTCCTATTTATCTGTCTACCTAGCTATCATTTTTTATTTAATCTTCTCAATGAGTTTGCCAGTGATTATATCACCTGGGGCTTCTTTCACACTTCTCTCTAGACAATCAATAAATTTGTTAATAGACTGATTACACCTGGGGACCAGGACAAGTCAGATTTTAAGATGATGAAGTTGAATGATAAGAGGTCTTGTCTCTCAGTTTCCAGCAAAGCTGCCATCTTGTGCCAGCTTCTTAGATTTCTTTCCCATCCTGGACTGGGGACATTGCCAGGGAAACCAGATCCTGCTCCAGGGGTCCCAGGCAGCCTAGCACATTGGCTCCAGAACCTCCAGCAACCTCTGCACCATTGAGGCTGCCGAGTTTCAGCGATGACCTAGAGTCTCAGGATACCTGAGGTCACCGATACTGCAGGATGTTCAGCTATGCAGACGAGCAGGTTAGTCATCTCAGTATCCGCCTCCTACTCCACATAGTTACCCGGTCTCCTAGAATGTGTCCCAGAAAAACAAAGGCCACAGTGAGTCAGTACAAAATAAGCTCACCTCACATGTGATGCATACAAGACACCAATAAGTCTTGATGATGCATTTCTGTAGTGCTTGGCCATTTGGAGAGCCTTTTACTGTGTGCGCGCCTTACCTTACTGGAGCTGTGTAACCATCTTGTGAAGCAAGCAGGCTCTGTGTCTTTATTCTTACTTTGCAGGTGAGGAAGCTGTGCAGGGTCACCCAGCGACTAAGCAGTTGGGCCAGCACAGACTGGAACTCAGGTCCTAGGATTTCACCTCAGTGCCTTCTCCACCTGTCCATTCTATGATGGTGGGAAGTACAGAGGGGCAGAGTTCAAGGAAAGCATGGGACAAAAACAGAGAGTGGATGTCCCTCTTGCCAGGGTCAAAACTAGTTGGCACATGTCTTCCCAGGAAATGCTGTCCATCAGAACTGGATACCCTACTGACCCACAGCCCCTGCTGCAAAGTCTAGGACTTCAATGCCCATCTTCCTTCGTCCTCACTTCCATGCCTAATTGACTCCTGCAACCTGCCCACTCTGTTTTATCTGCCAGTGCCTGGCTCAGCCGCTCCTCACCTTGGAGTTTGGCATTTCCAAGCAGAAGCACAAATGCGCTCTGCCCTATGCAAGAGCAGCCTCAGGATTGTAGGAGAGAAAACACTAGAACATCGATGACAAGGGGACATGTGTTGGTAGGCAATGTCATCATGTGCAAACGACGTAGAGTGTACTTCTACATACCTGAATGGTATGGTCTGCTCCACACCTAGGCTATATGGTACATACCATTATGTATGGGGTGCATTGTTGACTGAAACATTGTTACTGGGTGCATGTCTGTATTTACCATGTGCACAGATACTGGCCCTTGCCAGGCTGTTGGTCCGACCAGTAGAGGTCATTTACTGCAACTTGACCTCCTGCAGTTCTTGTGGGTCTGGTGAAAATGCACTTATGATTCGTCGTTATTAACTCAATCCTAAAGAAAGGGACACATGACTGACAAAGAATCATACAAAAAGAAACTGATTAGAGAAGACACCGTGTTGCAAACAGCAGGAAAGTGCAGAAATGGGGCGAGTATTGTGGCGGTCTGTCCTTCTAGCTAAGGGAGCATCAAACTAACCTCGATTCTGATGGTACCTAACTTCCTTGGTTAGCCTTCCCTCTTGGGGCTGCCATCACCTGCTCCTGCCAGACCTTGTGGTGCCCAGCCACTGCCCTGCCTGTCTCCATCATTGAGCTGAATGCTCCCTGAGCACAGGTACCTTGTCCTATGCATGGGTGCATCTCCAGTACCCAGACTGGCGCCTTGTTTACAGAGTGCATCCTCAGAAAGCCTGCAGAGCCAATGAGTGAGTGGAATCCAGGGCATCTGGACACGTGAGTGACAGCAGCAGTGTTTTGGCAGCACCTCCTACCAGCTCCTGTTTCCCAGGAACAAATATGTACTTCCTCTTCTCTGCAAGTCTCCTCAGCTCCAAGGCATAAACTTCCACACTCTATCTGCTTGAAAAAAGAGAGAAAAGGGGCCGGCACTGTGGTGTAGTGGGTAAAGCCACTGCCTGCAATGCCAGCATCCCATAGGGGTGACCTGGAAGAAGCTCCTGGCTCCTGGCTTTGGATTGGCACAGCTTCGGCCATCCTCTACTGCTTTCCCAGGCCATAGCAGAGAGCTGGATTAGAAGTGGAGCAGCCAGGACTCGAACTGGCGCCCCTATGGGATGTCAGCACTGCAGGAGGCAGCTTTACCCACTACGCTACAGTGCTGGCCCCAAGTCAGAATCTTAAGAAGTGAGACCTAGGGCTGGCACTGTGGCAAAGCAGGTAAAGCTGCTGCCTACAGTAATAGCATCCCATATAGGTGCCAGTTTGAGTTCGGCTGCTCCACTTCTGATCCAGCTCTCTGCTATGGCCTGGGAAAGCAGTAGAAGACGGCACAAATGCTTGGGCCCCTGCACCCATGTGGGAGACCCAGAAGCTCCTGGCTTTGGATTGGCCCAGCTCCGGCTGCTGTGGCCATTTGGGGAGTGAACCAGCAGATGGAAGACCCCCCCCCCCCAACCTCTGCCTCTGCCTCTCTGTAGCTCTGCCTTTGAAATAAATAAATAAATCTTTTGAAAAAAAAAGATATATAGAAATCTAAATTTTGTTATGCTCTTCAGATAATTTTCAAAAAATATTTATTTATTTGAAAGGTAGAGTTAGAGATAGAGATAGAGGTAGAGATAGAGAAGAAGAGACATACAGAGAGAGAGAGAGAGAGAGAGAGAGAGATTTCTTCCATTCTGCTTGTTCATCCCTCTAAATGGCTGCAACATCCAGGCCAATGCCAGGAGCCAGGAGCTTCTTCCAGGTCTCCCACATGGGTGCAGGGGCCCAAGGACTTGGACCATCTTCTGCTACTTTCT